TTCTGATATAAGCTGGGACATGGATGAACCTTGAAAGCATCATGCTGAGTGAAATAAGTCAGACACAAATGGACAAATACTGTATGATTCTACTTATATGAAACATCTACAAAAGGCAAATGCATAGAGACAAAGGTTTTTAGTGGTTACCAGGAGCAAGAATGGAGTTTGCTTAATGGGCACAGTTTCTGTTTGAAGTGTTGAAAAGTTTTGGAAATGGATAGTGGTGGTGAGTGAACAACATAGGGGATGTAATTAATGTCACTGAACTGTAAAATATATGTGTTTTACCACAATAAATTTTTTTTTAAATATGAGGGAAAATCAAAATATCCATAATCATACCACCCAGTAACATTCGTATATCTCTTCAGATCTTTCCTATGCTTCTTCACAAACACAATCTTTTCACAATCAGATACATATTATATCTTGCTTATGTCACAAATACTTTTCCAACATAAAATTTACAATATGCTTTTGATAGCTGCATAATATTCAAATATGTGGATATAACATGAATTTAATAATTCCTTACAGCTATATTTGTTTTCATTTTTTACTATTAGAAATAATGTGTCGATGAACATTTTTCTACATAAATCTGATGGCATGCCTGATTATTTTCTTAGAATAAAATTCCAACAGAATGGGACTTAAAGGGTATAAGGGTTAAAGGGTATGAAATCTTTTAAGAAACTGCTTTTCATTAAAGCTGAAATGATTTACACTTGTAAATCTCCAAAACAAACAAACAAAAAACAAACCTGTTGGTGGTGAGATGATTCCGACTCATAGCCATCCTATAGGACAGAGCAGAACAGCCTCATAGGGTTTACAAGACTGTAATCTTTATGGAAGCAGACTTCATCTTTCTCCCTTAATTTCTGAGAATGTGTATCTAACTACAGCCTAATAGCACCAGGGGTCCTCTATCTTGAACAGAAAATTCACTTGTTTTCGAGAGGCTATAAATAAATACTAATCTCTTTCCTTTCACAGCTCAAATGATAGGATAAGTGCATGTATCTATTACTTTCACCTCACCAACCACACTTTGTTTGACTACAATGATTCCTCCCCATATCATTTTACTAAAATTGCTGACATTAGTAATCTCTCTCTAGTCACATGAATGTTTTTTAGATTCTTATCATTAGACCATTTGACCCTACTCTTCCCATCTCAGTGGCCATCTGACTCTACTGATCTCATCCTTCTACAAGGACCCAGTCCCTTCACATTATACCACCACATTCTCTCACTTCATCTCTGACCTCTACAATCCATTGACTTTAACGTGCCTTTTCCCACTCCTACACTAGTCCTCAAACTATTCCAGGCCTCCAAGGTTCAGGCCTTGCCCATATTCTGCACTACTCTCTGGTAGGGTTCATCCATTCTATTTGAATAACCAGCACAACATTGATGGCTCCCATTATTTATTTCCATGACTTTATCTCTCTTTTCTCATGTCCTCAGCTGAGATTCCATTACCATCTGTAACTCAGTAACACACCATTTTCCTTGCCAAACCAGGATCCCTTCCCAACTTCCTATTTCTACAATGGAGCAACAGTTCTTCAGTCCTCTATGCTCAAAAACTCTTTAAATTCTTCCTTATTCAAAAATGCTTCTTTGATGATGTCTCCTGCTTAAGACTTTCTGTCCAAACTCATCTCATTCAAACCCCTTAAAGGGCCACACCTTATCTCCTATTACCTGCCAACCCAAATCCAAGGCAATTCTTTCTCCTTACTGCCCTTTCTCCCTCACACCTTCCCCAGATTCATTACTGCTCTCACCTTTGCTCTTATCACTCTCCAGTCCCCTCCAATTGTTTCAGTGGAGCCTGCAGTAATAACCCTGACCTATATTTCTTTTCCTTTCTCTGAAGTCCTGAAGCCTGTCTTAGGAAGGGATCAGCAAGAAAAAACCCTGGTTTGTAGTTTGCTCATAACTCCCACCATGATAGATCAAGGTACTAACATAACATCACAAAACATGGAATTGGGAAGAGATGTGCACACAGCCAGGAGGAACCAGCTACAGGACACCACTGTAGTTGTATCTGTTCCATAATCTCAATCCAGGGTATACACAGGAATGTCGGTTCACTGCAATAAACTTTAGCCCTAGGAAGAGGGGTAACCAATTCATTTTAGAGCCTTTTCACAGCTTCAAACAGTGTATACTGCACAGGGCACACGTGATGTGCTCAATAAAAACCTGTTGGTACAACTTGGAGAGTGGTGATAAACAAAGCCAAAGGCTGGAATAATAAAAATGGGGCACAGTTTCATTTAGAGTTTGTTAGCAAGAACAAATTAAAAGAACAATGAGGGAGCAGAATGCAATAGGAATAAAATCAGAATGGGAGCCAGAATATTTTGTTGATGTCCCAACTTTGCACCTGTGTAACCCTGTGTAAGTCAATTCCCTTTTTATGCTTTAGTTTTTTCATCTGCCTGTCAAATGAGATGGCTAGACTATTTGATTTCTACACTATCTTTTCATTCTAATGCTCTAGAATGTAGATTAAACTGAAAAGGAGGCTGCCCATGAATATAAGTTTAAAGGGTCACGGGATCTCTCACATGTGAAGGGGTCTAAGATCCCCAAGTTAAAACTCTGACTAAACCAGCCACTCTGGGAAGCAACAGTGGGCAATCTACTTTCATAAAGATTTACCATCTCAGAAACCCAATGGGGGTCGCTATGAGTCACAAGTGACTCCACGGCAGTGGGTTTGGTTTGGTTTTATAGCTACAGCTACATCTACAAAATAATAAACGAACTTAAGCTCATAAAGCTTACATTATGTTTGCTGCATCTTGTTTGCTAAAGGAGTATAACAAAGACTTCCATCAGAAACAATGAAAAATAAAGGTCTATCCTTTAGAGGATTAAGCTTTCGTTGTTTGGAATTTCACTCACTGAGAGTTATCTTATTTGAAATAAAATTCTGGATAAATGAGGTATTACTAGATTATGTTTCTATTTGATCTACCATTTCTTTGGTTACCAAACCAAATCAAACCCACTGGCGTCAAGTCGTATCCAACTCATAGAGACCCCTCCTTGGATTTCTGAGGCAGTTATCACTAAGGAAGAAGATTGCCCAATCTTCCCTCCCTTGGTTACAGTTCCTCATTAAATCAGTCTTTCTACTCGATCAAACTATTTGCACATGAATATGTAATTCCACTTCACAAATAAACTTACATTTTGATTCTTCCATTTCAAGGGACTCATAACAAATACACATCCTGAACAAACAGCTTGAACAACACAAAGAGCACAAGTTTCAGCATTAGAAGACACTGACTCCTCTCCTGGCTTTAACACTTTTTGGCCAAGCGATCTTGGGCAAGTCATTTAACCATCTGACTTCATTTCCTTATTTGTAAAATGGGAGGGGATGATAAGAAGACTTACCTGAGAAGGCTGCTACCAGAAATCAATCAAATATCGTACGAGAAAGTACTTAGCTATGGGCAAAAGTGAGTGAAAGTGCAGATCATTTGGAGTTACTCAGAAACCATCAGACATTCAGAGGAGATAATCGGGGGAGTTGCTCATGGAATAACTTTGTGCGCTATTAAAAATGACTATCTAGAGGAACAGAAATTGTTCTTAAATCGCTCAAGAAAATTTTGTTTTGATTGAGTGCCCAACAGTGAAGTTCTGGAACATCAGAAGTCTGCAGAGTTTTTTTTTCCACAAAACAATGATTCTTTCACTTTGAAAAGCTTTACAAAAGGTAACAGGATATATACAGAAGATTTTTAGGTGAATTACTTCAGCAAAGCTGAATAAGTCAATAAAATAACAAGGGTATCAGAGTTTTTCTTTCTTTTTTTAAGGTAGAGTTTTTGTTTTAAAAAGAAGTAAATACTATTCTCCTAAGTACTATTCTCCAATTTGAGATATGTTTTCTAGTCCATTCTACACTGACACACAAGATAAGCCATGTAAAGGTTTTTTTCTCCTCTACATATCAAACTGGTTAAACTATCAAACATTCACTATATTTTTCTTACATTGTTTCATTTATATTTACAATGTATGTTTACATTATTTCAACAGCTAAGTTTAGGCTTTTCTTCCTTTAAACGTTGAATTAAACAAATTTTTAGTAATTGGGTACCATGGGAAAAAGATTATTACATCTTATTGTTGTTGTTATGTGCCGTCGAGTCGGACCGACTCATAGTGACTCCTCCTTGGGTTTCCGAGGCAGTAACACTACAAAAGTAGATTGCCCCATCTTCCTTCCGAGGAGTGGCTGGTGGGTTTGAACCACCAGCCTTCTGGTTAGCAGTCAAGTGCCTTAGGCACTATGCTACCAGAGCTCCTTATTACATCTTTTCAAAGCTAATAGGCGACCAAGAGTGGTATGTCCTGGTACTTAGAAAAGGGTCAAGAGGAAAACACTGATTTCTCAGTCCTTACCACTAGTTTAAGACTCTTTGGTTCCCCCCAAGAAGGCGAATTAAATTCTTAATCACCTGACTCCAAAATACCCATTACACAAATGTCTATTATGAAAACAAACTGCAAGTCTTGTATTTACATAACACATTCCTCCAATAAATTCAAACCACTTAATTGTAGCGCTGTTTAAAACCCTCCTTGGGTTTCTGAGGCAGCATCTTATCTCTACGCAAGTAGATTGTCCAATCTTCTTTCCGAGGAGTGGCTGATGATAGGTTTGAACCGCCAGCCTTCCGGTTAGCAGTCAAATGCCTTAGACCCTACGCCACCAGAACTCCCAGCAAAATTGGTAAGGAACTGGGAAGATGAAGAGCCAAGTACGAGGGCTTCTCCAGACCAGCCCACATGTCTGCTCAACAGCTATTCACTCAGCCTTTACTCTTTCCCATTACTGGCACCACGGGGGAACTGGAGCAACTCCCAGACCTGGGGATATCGCAGGATTCTCCCACCTCCAAAGGCCAGGCTGACACCCTGCCCTCCCCCAACCCTGCTGGCCTTACCCGCCGCCAGGCGCAAGCCGCGGAGGCTCCCCATGGCATCCTACTCCGCCGACCACCACCGTATTTTGAAAGGGAGGCAGCTGCAGCGGGCTTGCGGTCTATGTCGCGGAGCCCTGTGGTTAGCGAGAAGGAGGAGGTGCTGGGGGGCGGGGTGTGTGGGGCGGACAGGCGGAGCAAGTGAACCGGCCCAGTGGGACGTGAGTGACGCGCAGAACGTGCGGGCTGCGCGCTTCACCTGGCACGATCTCGCGCTATCCGGAGCTCGTCCTGCACCCGGTCATTGAAGAGAAGGACCGGCTTGTGGAATTTGCCGGTCCTGGGAGTTTGCAATTACCATTTTCTGCAATTGAGACACTGCCGCTTTAAAAAAGACGAAAACTAGTTCATTGCAGAACTTTTGTGAATTGTAAGCTCCCGAAATAACACTGTCTAGATATAACTCATTTCAGTAGTGTCCTTTTAGTATTTTAAATGAGTATACTCCCTTATCAAGAAACACAATTAGAATCACGGTGCACAGTGGCCTTCATCATTGCCAGGAATGCCCTTTCTCTTGACTTTTTCTAGTGGTCCCAAGAATAAAGCTTCTCATTTTTGGGATGGGATGTGGACACCTGAGTGGGATGGTTAAGAGAAACAACACTTCCACTCCAGGCCTCCTCCTCTAACAAACAGGTTCTTCTGTTTCCCTTTTTGTAAGAAGACAGGAGTGGAGTAAAGGATCCCTTGAAGTTCTGGCATTCTCTGATCCTTGAATCTAGGCCAGTTCCAGGAGGGCATGTTAAAGCGGTAGGGGTGTAGGAAAAGGGTAGCAGAGTTACAGGCCTCGATTGGGATAGGGACCAAAGAAGACAAACTTGTATTTAGCTTTATGGTCGATTTCCCTTCTGGCTATTTCTTGTCAGGCGGCGCCGCGGACACCTTTGCTCTGCGGTGATTGGCCCGCGGCTGGGGCCTTGCGCTTGTCCAATATGGCGGCGCCCAGTGGCGGTGTGAACTGTGAGGAGTTCGCGGAGTTCCAGGTGATGGGGTTTTCCTCATGTGACAGGCGGTGTCCCTTCTTTTCCCTGCAGACCTTGTTCCTGGCTCTAGTCTGGGAGGGAGTGCGGACTAGTTGTGGAGGAAGCGGGCAATTCACGGTTCCATTGGCGGTCATGGGGGGGCGCGGGCTTGCCTTTAGAAGAGCGAGGCTGCTCCGTCGGGGGTCATGGTTCTCCGGCGCCGCCCAGGTCTTGAGTAAATGCACCGGGAGACTGCACGCCGTTCTGCGGTAGTGTAGCTGAGTTCAGACCGAGTAGATAGGGATTATAACAAATAGTAGCATTCCCCTGAATTTTGTTCTCAGGCTCTGTTTTTTCAGCTTTTCTTAGTTTTTGTGGGAGAGAAAAAATGAAGGAGAGCTTATTTACTTGGTAAAACAAAAATCTTACTACATTTTGCTTTTGGTGGGACAGAACCACTTGGAGGGGCGTTCTGGTACTTGCTCTGGTGCTGCTGCCTTCCTGACATTGGAGAAATTTAAAATTTATGGAAAACACTAGAAGTTTAGGGCTAATTATTATTCTCTAAATGCAAGAATAAAGATCTGAATTTTTATCAAGTTGTATGGAAGTTATCGGTTCTACTACAGGCATAAATGTGGTATGGAGTTACAGAGTTAAATACAAAAATCATGGCTTCACGGTGCACTGCTTTTTAAAGATACTGAAAAATCATTTCACGTCTCACTGACATATCTGTAATAAATTTTGTGCTTTGAACCGTTTTACGGGTTGTGGCATTCTTGAAGATAATCTTGAAGACGGAATTATTTGACAAATAGCGTTGCTGAAAAAGTTTCTGTAGGGTCTCTCCACCATTACTTGCACCCTCTTTACTATTTTAGCTGCTCCTCAAACCAGATCAGCACAACAGCAGTCTACAAGAAATGTGATCAGAGTGCCTGACAAATACAAATACTTGTAAAAAAAAATTTAATAGGATAGAAAAGAAAACCTTGAACTTAAGGTTAGCTGGACCACGTGTGGTCTTGGTCGTGTCGCATTAGTTCTATAATGGAACTTGAGTTAATGAACTCAGACAGTGAAGCAATGGTAGCCTTATGGTCTATTATAAAGAACCCTGAGTAGAGAGTTAGGAGTTCTGGGTTCTAGTACTGCTGCTGCCCTTGAGCTAATCACTTAAACCTTTTAGGAATCAACTTTAGAATCTGTAAAATTAGATCGTGTTTGAACATTTAAAAATGTCTGTAATTATTTGAGTCCCTAAAACCAAATATTCAAGGGTCTCTTTTAGCTATTAAAGGCATCCATCAGTGGTTAAAGAATACATTGATTTTTCTTTTCAAAGGTCATAAAATGTAGGTGGGGCAAAATTGAAAATGTCTTACCTAACCATACCTCTCCATACACAGAGATAATGTAAATAAATAGATTATTAGTTAACCCTGGGGGAGATTTTTAGATAGTTTGTCTAGAAGTTTTCCAAATGTGTGGTTTATAATGGAGACTACCGTGGGCTAGAAATCAGAGGATCTGGTATTCCAGGGCTAGTCTTGGTACATCATTTAACCCCATTGCAAATGGATGTAAAAACATTTGCCCCTGCTGCATTAGTGTTGTTGTTGTTATGTGCCGTCAAGTCGGACCCGACTCATAGCGACCCCTCCTTGGGTTTCCGAGGTGGTATTACTATGGAAGTAGATTGCCCAATCTTCCTTCCGAGGAGTGGCTGGTGGGTTTGAACCACCAGCCTTCTGGTTAG